TGGATAAGAGCGTCTGCTAAATGACTAACAATGGGTTTTTTTAAATTAACCCCCAACATCAACTTCTCCCCGGGCGCCGATGACAAAAAAAAAAGCTGAGGGATGGGGGCTGGAGAAATGTAACACTCAAATTCATAGACAGAGCTATGGATGCAAGGGCTGACCATACATGATATCAAAATTATTGTTTCAACAATGTTTTGAGGCTATATATTGTTTGTTTACATTTACTTTGTTTATAAACATTGCAGTAAAACAAGCTTATATTTTGGGTTGATAGGGTACAACTGTTGAACTAAGCTCATGAGGCATTTATAAGTTATATTCGTCAAGAATCAAATGGTTACATATAAATGTATAAGTCCAAAAATGGATGTAACAACTGCTGATTGCCCCTTTAAAGTGGCACTCTAGTCTCATTTTCACTGCATTTAAAACCTGATTTACATAACAAAAGGCTCATCTCAATAGGTGGTCCAGGTAAATTGCCTATCCTCTTTTGTTCTCTATTACTCTTTAATTGTTCATCAAGCAACGGGGAGGCTGATGACATCAAAGATTCCCATCAGACCAACTCCTTGAATGCCCTACTCCTTGAAGTTTGCAGTTGTGTCTAAAAAAAACAATTTTTTTTAGCCTTTAGTGTGTATACTTTACTGTATTTATACATGGGACGTCACTTTAAACAGTAAACATTTTTTTTTTTCTAAATAGCTGGAGGACGTCTTTAAGAATATAACTTAAATGCCTCAGGAGCTTAGTTCAACTGTCATATCCCACCAGAAACCTACATTGTTTGTAAACACTGTGTAGCTTCAAAGCATGGTTAAAACTATAATTTTGATATCATGTATGGTCAGTCCTTGCATCCATAGCTCTGTCTATGAATTTGAGAGTGGTTACATTTCTCCAGCCCCATCCCTCAGCATTTTACCAAAACCAGTGGCGGGGTGTCTAATTTGTTATTGTTTGAAATGCAGATTGCCCCTTTAAAAGCATTTATAATGACTAATTGATTTAGTGAAAGGTTGATATTTCTGTCCTTTTTCTTCCAGCCTTTTTAACTTCTCCTCTGGACTGGTGTCTTCCTCGGCGATCATCGTTATGGCTCTTATGTTGTGGTTGAGTCATTGAACGATATTAGAACCTAAACATATAGCTAACAACAGTCTACGAAGCCTGATTACCTACAATGATTTACCAGAGAGAGAGAGGTCTCTATGAAGCTTTATGACCTACGATGATTTACCAGAGAGATGATATTAATGTATGGTAAATGTCTGTGCCTTGTACAGTGAGGGAAAAAAGTATTTGATCCCCTGCTGATTTTGTACGTTTGCCCACTGACAAATAAATTATCAGTCTATAATTTTAATGGTAGGTTTATTTGAACAGTGAGAGACAGAATAACAACAACAAAATCCAGAAAAACGCATGTAAAAAATGCTATAAATTGATTTGCATTTTAATGAGGGAAATAAGTATTTGACCCCTCTGCAAAACATGACTTAGTACTTGGTGGCAAAACCCTTGTTGGCAATCACAGAGGTCAGATGTTTCTTGTAGTTGGCCACCATGTTTGCACACACCTCAGGAGGGATTTTGTTCCACTCCTCTTTGCAGATCTTCTCCAAGTCATTAAGGTTTCGAGGCTGACGTTTGGCAACTCGAACCTTCAGCTCCCTCCACCGATTTTCTATGGGATTAAGGTCTGAAGACTGGCTAGGCCACTCCAGGACCTTAATGTGCTTCTTCTTGAGCCACTCCTTTGTTGCCTTAGCCGTGTGTTTCGTGTCATTGTCATGCTGGAATACCCATCCACGATCCATTTTCAATGCCCTGGCTGAGGGAAGGAGGTTCTCACCCAAGATTTGACGGCACATGGCCCCGTCCATCGTCCCTTTGATGCAGTGAAGTTGTCCTGTCCCCTTAGCAGAAAAACACCGCCAAAGTATAATGTTTTCACCTCCATGTTTGACCGTGGGGATGGTGTTCTTGGGTTCATGGGCAGCATTCCTCCTCCTCCAAACACGGCGAGTTGAGTTGATGCCAAAGAGCTCGATTTTGGTCTCATCTGACCACAACACTTTCACCCAGTTCTCCTCTGAACCATTCAGATGTTCATTAGCAAACTTCAGACGGGCCTGTATATGTGCTTTCTTGAGCAGGGGGACCTTGCGGGCGCTGCAGGATTTCAGTCCTTCACGGCGTAGTGTGTTACCAATTGTTTTCTTGGTGACTATGGTCCCAGCTGCCTTGAGATCATTGACAAGATCCTCCCGTGTAGTTCTGGGCTGATTCCTCACCGTTCTCATGATCATTGCAACTCCACGAGGTGAGATCTTGCATGGAGCCCCAGGCCGAGGGAGATTGACAGTTATTTTGTGTTTCTTCCATTTGCGAATAATCGCACCAACTGTTGTCACCTTCTCACCAAGCTGCTTGGCGATGGTCTTGTAGCCCATTCCAGCCTTGTGTAGGTCTACAATCTTGTCCCTGACATCCTTGGAGAGCTCTTTGGTCTTGGCCATGGTGGAGAGTTTGGAATCTGATTGATTGATTGCTTCTGTGGACAGGTGTCTTTTATACAGTTAACAATCTGAGATTAGGAGCATTCCCTTTAACAGTGTGCTCCTAATCTCAGCTCGTTACCTGTATAAAAGACACCTGGGAGCCAGAAATCTTTCTGATTGAGAGGGGGTCAAATACTTATTTCCCTCATTAAAATGCAAATCAATTTATAAAATTTTTGACATGCGTTTTTCTGGATTTTTTGTTGTTATTCTGTCTCTCACTGTTCAAATAAACCTACCATTAAAATTATAGACTGATAATTTATTTGTCAGTGGGCAAACGTACAAAATCAGCAGGGGATCAAATACTTTTTTCCCTCACTGTATATTACCAACCCTAATGTCATCCTGATGGAAATTACAATAGCTTTGCTAAAGAAATGTACTCATGAGATAATCCTATTTTAGATTTACTTTGAAACGGTAGTGTTAGTTTGATGGTAAGCATTATAGTCAGGGCCAAACTTTGTCATACTGATTTAATAAACAAATGATGTAATGGAATTATAACAAATAATCAACAACTCACAACCAATGATTCCAATATACTAAGTAAGTAAAATAATAAGTCTTCCTATGGGATTGCAAAAGCTAGGAATTGGGTGATTTGTATATTTTACATATGACATACAATAAAATGTAGTGAACAATTTACAACAAAATGTTTTAACTTTTGTATATTACATGTAAATATTTAACTAAAATGTACTTTTTGCATCACACAAATGAGGTCATATTTGGATTGTCCTTGACAAGTTATGGGGCCGTTCACTGAGTTTCTCCCTCTATATTTTCCATGTCACACTGGTAAAGGATATGTACTCTGTTGCTCTTATCCAGAGTGACTTACAGTTAGTGCATTCATCTTAAGATAGCTGGTGGGACAACCACATATCAGTCATAGTAAGTACCTTTTCCCTCAATAAAGTAGCTATCAGTAAAGTCAGAGCTAGTAAGGGGGAAAAAGTGAAGTGTGAGTGTTAGTTCATGAAAAGTCAAAACAATTATTTATACAGTATATACATGCTGTATATACACTGAGCGTACAAAACATTAGGAACACCTAATATCGCATGGTTCTTAAGTGCAATTACTTATTGTTTTTCAGTAATTAAAGCTATTATAATTACTACAGTTATTACCTGGCCATTGATTCCCACACTTGACCTCTTTCTTACTTCCACACATCATACTCCTAGATGATTTGCTTTGAGCAATGAAGAAGATGTCATGTTTGTTCAAGGTACACCATTTTTACCTTGTGCAAATACATGTTATTTAACAGTATGATAATTGTGTTTGTGATGAATAGTTGTTTGCAATTCTAACTCACAGGCCTGCAAGGAAAAACTATGTTAATAAAGAGAGGGTAAAAGTTCCAAGTTTTGAGTCACTTCACTTCAAGTCTTGATCCTGTGCAATACCTGGATATACCTGGACATACACTAGTATAAAGACACAGAGAAAGGAAGAAATACAAGATTTGACATTTGTCTTATGATTTACAACTTTCTTTTCACATGACAAGATTTGGTTTGGTGTTTGTGTTATTGCATAGTATTTCGAATTGTAGGTAACTTGACCATAGCAAGGACATATGTTTCCTATCCATAGGAGAATGTGTATTTATATTTTCCTAGTGGTGGTCTTCATACCTTTGTCTCAGGTAAGAGATTGAACTGTGAATACCAATTTTATATTGATACAAACATGTTATTACATTTTCAAATTACAAAGACATGATCAGAAATATTTACATGGTTAAGTTATTTATTTACCCGAAATTGCTACAAAATCATATTTTGTTCTTCATCCTAAGTCTCAAGCAATTTTCAGAGGTGAGTTTGTATACTCTATCCATACATAATTTTTATTAATATAATAACCAGGGAAAATAAATAAATGCACTATGGAGTTTGAGTAGTCCATACCAAAGGTTTTGTATTGGCCTATACAGGATTGACACCATTTGTTTTAGATTTACACTTTTGGAAAACTGTGTTGCTTTTAATCTACATTCAAATACAAATTGTTTTATATAATATCCTTTATTTTACAATGGATACTAACAATTACTAATAATTTTGTATTTCAAACTTAATTGTCTATTTTGTTAATTTTCAAGATATTGAGGATTTCGACTTGGACATCAACAGAATAAACATGGGTAGGTTGAGCTGAGTTATGCGACTTAGGTTGATTGTTGTCAGTATGTACTGAAATATTATTTTAGACTTTGTTTTACCTTGATTCCATAGTGAATAATAATTTACTGCATATATTTTCCAGACTTAGACTTACGCGAGGGTGATATAATCGAGGTAAGTACACCCTTTAAAAGATTACTAATTTTGATGAACGTTCTGCTGGCTTCAGATGTACTCTTTCACTGTCATTAACTATTTCTGGTGTATTCAAATCATGTAGCCTCCGCATAAACAAAGGGTTCCCAGGAATGCCGTTTTGAATAAGGACAAACTATGGGACCTTCCCGTCCCCTATGTGCTAGAAGAAAGCCTTGGTGAGTAAAAATGTTCTTCAGGTCTCCATTTAAAAGTCCATATATGGACAGACATCCCCAAGTAACATCACACCTTAGATTATACCTGTCACTTGAGGGATGTCATATGCCTATATACAGAACGTTTACTTGTTCTTTGTAAATGGAGAGCTAATGAAAACCTAAGTGGCCAAAACATTGTCTCCAATAAACCACATGGGAGCATTGATTGCAGAGTCTCTTTTGACTATTTACTGAACATTTTATTCTGCATCCAGCATCTGCTCAGAAACAGTGGTTGTGCGCATGTAATCTGTTCCTATACTGAGTGAAGTCCTTCCCACCAGGTTGATAATTAAAGGTTGGATAAGTGATGGATCCTTCCCCCAAAGGCCCTAATTTGCCATCACTTTACCATGTGTTTTCTATATGAACTCAGATTTGAATGCTAAAGGGATCATTCTGCGGGCCTTTGAGCAGTTCAGGCTAAAATCATGCGTCGAATTCAAGCCCAGAGGCTCTGAGTATCACTTCATTTCAGTCCAGAAGAACAGAGGGTAAGATCATTTTTGCCTTGCCTGATCATACAGTGTCCCTTTTTACTGAAGATATCTGACTTGCTTGATATTGATACAGGTTCATTTTTGTGTCTCCTTGCTTTCTTTTAATGTAGGTGTTCCTCCCACGTAGGGAGATCTTCCAAGTATGGACAGCCTCTTTCCATTGGAAATTACTGTGATCATATTGCCATTGTGGAGCATGAGTTTCTACACGCTCTGGGAATCTGGCATGAACAGTCCAGATATGACAGGGATGAATATGTGACCATTGTTTGGAAAAATATAAGACGTGGTTTGTTCACATTTTCTTCAGCGTTTTTTCAGTTATAAATTGTAACAATAAGGTGTACGTATTATGCATTTTTTGTTATTCAATTCACTTTATATACATTATGTTGTCTTCACAATGTTAGCAAAATGTTGTACGTGAAAGTAAATTATAGTTATTTATTATCATGAGTGTAATAGGCTGTTTTTCAAGACTTTCATTTCAAGAAATTTGAGGTTGTAAACTAAAGCAGTAATTAAGTGTCATGAATCCACCCCTTGTCTACAGGTCATGAGAAGAACTTTGTGAAAGTTTCTCCCCATTATTCGACCACCCTGGGTTTCCCGTATGACTACACCTCGGTGCTACATTACAGTGAGAGAGCCTTCAGCATTGGAGAGGGACCTACCATCATAACTAAGCAACCTGAGTACCAAAAAATTATTGGACAACGAGCCCACAAGATGCCTTGATGCTGAACAAGCTATATGGATGCAGTAAGCGTGTGTCATGAAACCAAGCAGGTCTACTGTACTGCATGTCCAAGTTGAAGAACATGTATATTCTTCTCCTCCTTTCTGTTTTCCTCCTGTAGAAAAATCTATTTCATTTATGGAACATTGCAACTTCGACAACCAGAGATTGTGTGGGATGAGTCGCTGCACCAAGAGTTTGGTAGGTGGATGGAAAAGAATGAAGACTGTCATTGGGGGGCCCTATTCTGATTTCACCAACCTGGGGAAGACAGACGGTGAGATTTAACGCTGTAGTACAGCTCACACTTTCCCAACAGTTGACTCCTTCATGAAAATGCTGTTAATACAGACAGTAAACTGAACTTGTGCTGTAGGACCATTAGATACAAATATCAAAGTCATCAGACAATTGTTTAAAATGCTCACCCTACTTTTCCCAGGTACTGGTTTCTTCATGCATGCCAGCACAGTGTCAGGCCAGGAGGGGGACACAGCCTGGCTGGAGAGCAGGGAGATGACTCCCAGCAGGAAGTGCAGTGTCCAGTGTCTACAGTTCTACTACTACCACAGTGGTAACGAGTTAGACCAGCTCAACATCTGGATCAGAGAATACCGTGATGAGAGGGACTCTAAAGGAACTCTCCGCCTCATGGGACAGATCACAGGTTAGGATGATGAGAAGGTGAATAAACCACTTGGAAAATTAATTGCTAGAATTATTTGTTTCATCTCTAGTGTCTCTCTCTGAAGGTTCCCCAGGATCTCACTGGATGCCCTACCACGTGCCCCTGAATGGCACCAAAACCTTCCAGTTTGAGTTTGAGGTGCGTAAAGGAGCAGGACAGTCTACAGGCGGGTTTTCCATCGATGACATCAACCTGTCAGAAACCGAATGCCCCCATCACACCTGGCAGATTAGAGACTTTGAGAATCTTTTAACCACCAGTGACTTTAACACCGTTGTGTACAGCCCCAGATACTACTCCCCAGAAGGCTATGCCTACCAGATTGCCGTTTATCTTCGTGAAATGTTGTTTGGAGTTTATGTGCGCTTAGTCTCAGGAAAGTATGATGACCAACTCCAGTGGCCTTGCCCCCATCGACAAGTGACGATTCAACTGCTGGACCAGAATCCCCACATCCAGCAACGCATGTCCAAGCAAATCAGCATTACCACTGAACCCTCACTTCAGGACGGTGAGAGAAATTCAAACATTCAATACGAGTGTGTACAAAACACAATCGATTATAGTAAGGCACAGCTCATTTCCAATATATTTTTCTTGCAATACCCAGCCTAACTTTGATCACATTTACAAACAAACCATTCAGAGACAATGGCAAACATAAATGGCCATGCTTATGAATCATATGACTGAATGCAAATCATTCTATATTATGAATCAGCCCCCAACTCCTTGCATGTGTATGATGCTAGGTATTCCTCCATTTTGCAGACCATGATTTCTGGAACAATCCCCGTAAAGTCGGAACGCTAGAAAACAGGGGTGATGAGTCCTTCTACGTAAACCCTGCCATTGGCTTCTTAAAGTTCCTAACCTTGACGAACCTGAAGCATAGAGAATTCCTCAAGGGAGGCAACATTTTCTTCCTCATCACCATTCAAGGTGAGCAATCAAATCCAGATGCAATTTATTTGTATGTTTATCAATGGCCAACATTCGATAACGTTTAATTTCATAAAGTTGAATCAGAGACATTATTTACGTTTTTGTTCATAGTTTTTTCCTACACACCACTTATAATGCTGATCATATTTATTTTCTCCAGATATCTCCAGTCTGCGTTTTACCAACTCCCTGCCCTGTCCCAAATGGTCACCACAGAACTTATCTTCAAACCCAAACAACCGTGATGAAGGCCCATGTGCCACAGAGTAAGAAAGATCAGATCTAGGCCAGATTAGCATATATTTGATCAATTCCAATATGGTAAATATTGTATTTTTTATTTAATCAGTATGCCCATGGTCATTATGTTATATAGATTCATTTAATTGTATTATGTTCTATATTTATGGTAAACATCTTGCCCACATATTGTCAACCTAAATGACATCCTGGGACAGATTAGGCCTATTGTAGTCTATTAACTATGATATGCCAGTATTGATAGCACAGTCCTCTTATCCTGCTTCAGTATGTGATAACATATCCAATATTTATTGATAATCATAACTAACTGATTGAATTACTGATTGTAATTCTGTCCTAAAACACACACTCTGCATAATACTGGTTGTATGTTTTATGAGATTGAAAAAGCTTTTCCCTGTGAAATTTCCCCTGTGAAACGGATTTAAAATATGTTACATATAAATTATATCCTAATATTTCTGGAATGTATCATGCTTCAAATAAAACCTATTTCTTAGCAACACCCACCATTATTGTACTAACGTGCGTCATTTATTACTAGTATTGATTTAGCTGTTGTTGTTTTTTTATTAAGTTTTACTTGCAATGAGTGTGATATGTTGTTGCCTTACCTACCTTCATTAGTTGAAGGTCTGTGCTATGCAGAATCCTTGGGACGTCCCTAGCCCATTGAAGTTTAAATGTAAAATGGTTAAGCTAAGGGTTAGGGTAGGTGTTAAAGGCCGAACTCGGCTAGCCGAACCGAGTGTGCTCGCATTCTCCCTTAAAAGACCTTCGCTTAAAAAACGACAAAAAAAGCGGCAATAGTACTGTTTTTCCATTTTGAGACGCCGTAGCCAGTTACACTTCCTCAAAATAGTTAGAATTAATCTAACATAACTCAAGAAATCTGCCATTAATTTTGACATGTTTACCGAAGAGATCTTAGTCGCGCAATTTTACATCTAACTAAGATGTTTGGTGCAGTATTTTTCAATGAAAAAATGTGCATGAAAACGAGTCGTCTCTAGTTGAATAACAACAAAGACTATATTGACTACTGTTGACCAATCACCGACAAAGGGGCGTAGACTTCGGCTCCGAATTTCGGCTTGCCTCCAGAAAGAATGTCGTGTGCCCGAACAGCCGAAAAAAACCTCACCCAAAGTCCAAAACTAACAAAAACTTCTCAAAATGTCGTCATAATATATGCACGAACTCCACCGAACTGTTTCGCCTGGGTAGCAAGCGGTTTAGGGTTTACGGTAGGGAAGTCCCAAGGAATCTAGATAGCACTGACCAATTTGAGTTCGAAACAGGACACGCTGATTGGATAGTTCATGTACCTGCGCAGCCAGACTAAGGAATAGTTCCATTAGTTACCACAGCCACAAAGTCAAAATTGGCTATATAAATGCATTAAAAATGAGCTTTTTAAGGTTAGGCATACGGTTAACAGGTTAAAATCACATTTTAAGATGATAAATTGTATACATGGGCGGGGTTTATGACTTTGTGGCTGTGGTAACTAGTGACGACCCCTTAGGAAAACGAAAGAGACAACCAGCTAAAGGCGAGCGCGCGGCCATGTTGAATTGTCATTTTTTTAAAAAGAAGAGACAAAAGAGAGACAAGTCGGTGGGTTTCACGAAACACAAACAGTATCATAATACTTGGAAAATTTGCTTTAATTAAGTTAACGAGAGAAGACGTCCGATGAACATTAAGGTAAAATGTTGTATTTGTGTGAAGTAGCCGATAGTGCATGGGCGCTACTCGGCTGCCTAGGCTAGTACGTTATGTTTGAAGAAGGAGAGTCGACCAGTCAGCCTACGCGTAGTTAATGTAGCTAGCTAGCTAACCAAACGTGCTAGCTAGTTTATTTTTTTACTTTCTAGAATCTGTCGACTGTCTTTATCTAAATCGTCAGCCTCAACTCTAACTTGTGTCGTGAAGTTAACTGTTAGCATCAAAGTTGTCAGTCAAACTAACTCAGCCAAAATAACTTCGTTTAACACGTCGTTGTCACAGCTAACAGTTAGCTAGCTAACGTTAGTTGACTAGCTAACTAACGTCACATCCCTAACTAGCTACGGTAGCTTAGCTAACCTGCTTTACCGGGCATTTAATGCCACTAGGTACTAGTTAGTTAGCCACGTAAAGTTTGCCTACCGTTAGTGTGGTCACACAACCAATCATCAGTTAGCTAACTAACGTTTGCTGGTAAACCCAATTGTGGGTCTATGTTGGCTGCTCAAATTGTTAATTGTCTCACGAGTACACTGATCACTTACTTAGAACTAACGTAACGTTAACTAAACTATTTTGTTGAGCTCAGTCCTAACTAGCTAACTAACGTAGTGTTTTGCTCGTAATTTAGTATGTTTTTGATCTTGTTAAAAGTTATCCTGCTTTGCTTTTTGCCCCAGATCACTGCACTTGGCAACTACCTAACTACACTTATTATTTAGACCATTTTTACCACGTAAACTAGCTAGCTAAATACCTTGCTAATCTGTCCAGTTAGCTAGTTACACGTTAAAACCCAAATGCTGAAGTTTAAACGTTAACGTGAAATAATCCAGAGTCTATCTGGAAATAAACATGTTCTACCTTTTTCAAGTACAGTCCTATTTAGTGGTTTCATTAATTTAGACCTGTAATCTCAATTTCCTTTAGTATTAGCTACAGTCAATAGTGGCACAGGCACACGTTTTCATTTATGTGGTGCTTTTGTCCTTATGATGTATTGTTGCTTTCAGGCAGGTAACCTGGAGTGTATCAGCTCCACATCTACCACAGCAAAAGAAGAGAACAACTGAAAGAGCACAACAGCAGAACACACATTGACGTTGTGACTGTCCAAGTGAACAGCATATAGGGTTTGAACTATTTCCCTCAGTGTTTTGTATAAGTCATTTTTTTTGTTGTTGCCAAGAGCAAAATTTTTGCTTCATACCAGACCAAGTTGAAAGACTCATAGGAATAGTCCATGTGAATCAGAGGACCGTACCGGTCTGTTTGAATGTAAAAGACTAAAAGCACTTGAGAGACTCTAACAAAGAAACGTACGACCACTTCAGTCCAGGAAAACAGCTTAAAAGATATTTGAACAGAGAAACAATATTAGAAACTTAACAGGTTGTTGAATACAGAGAAAAGAAAAGAGACTTCAGAAAAAAAGCTATTTTCACCAGGAATAAGACTACTTCAGGATAATTTACTTTAGATGTTTGAACTCTGTTGAATTCTGAAACACGTTCACATAGGTTTATGTTTTGAGCGGATATATGATCTATTTATTCATATAAATGCAAATTTCTCCCTTTTTGGGGAGCGTCGTCTTGTAAATATACCATTTTCATACGCCAGACTCTTCTTTTCAAGAGGTCTGTACGTATAAGTGTATACATATATTCTTTAAATTAGAAATCCTGAAAACAAGGTTTGTTTATTTTTTGTGTGAACTAATTAACACCAGGACATTAGTTCCAATAGTGGGAAAACAAGATCTAAGGAAACGTTGATCAAAAGTTGAAGAAAGGAAAAAAAGTTTAGCTATACACTGTGAGTGACTAAGGAATTGGCAGACTGTGAAGGAAAAGCTCTCTAAGCCATGTCTACAGCAAGAACGGAGAACCCAACATCCATCATGGGACTGAACAAGCCCAACGGGCAGTTTAGAGGACCGCTCAAGCCAGTTGGACTAACGTCAGGATCCCTGGCAACTGCCCCACAACCAGGTGTCCCCCAGAAGGGTGGTAACATTCCCCAGGGCAGTGGGGGCATCCGGTTTGGCGATGACTGGAAGAAGTGCCTGCAGCTTCCACAGAAAGACTGCCGATTTAGAACATCAGTAAGTCCTAGTGCCACATTCACAGTTTAATAAAGCAGACTAATTTAAGTCCACCAATCAATAACCCTAGCTTCAACCTTGACCGTCTACTCTTTCCCCAGGATGTGACATCGACCAAGGGGAATGAGTTTGAGGACTACTGCCTGAAGCGGGAACTACTGATGGGGATCTTTGAGATGGGCTGGGAGAAACCGTCTCCTGTTCAGGTAACTTCCCTCTGCTTCTCTGTCCATGACTATCTTGGAACTTTGTTGATTGTGTTTAGTGTTTGCTCATGTTTGTGGGACTGTGTCTATGTCTCACCATCCTGTGTGTCTGTCCCCAGGAGGAGAGCATCCCCATTGCTCTGTCAGGCAGGGACATCCTGGCCCGGGCTAAGAACGGCACCGGGAAAAGCGGAGCCTACCTCATTCCTCTCCTGGAGAGGATAGACCTGAAGAAGGACCACATACAGGGTGAGAATCTGCACCAGCTGCTACTCAATGCCCCTTCACCACCATTCCAAGTAGTCTCATTTGCTTGTTTTAATCAATTTTGGTACAAAGTCCATCTATGAAATCTGTGCTTAATGTTTTATGATTAATTTGGCCTATTGTGACGTAATCACTGGTGAATACCCCTATGTAGTTGCCTGAACAATTCACTAGATTGATGCACAAGTAAGCACACATTCAGTGTATGGAGATGACAGTACTACGGCCCAGTGCGCCTAGGTGGGACACGTAATCTCTGACATATGGACCGACCCACTATCACACACCTAACGCCCACACACACTGTGCTGTAATGGAGCTGGACCACAAGGGAACAGCATGCCACACATTCATAATCTGTCTAGGCCACTTGAGTTTAGTGAGTTGGATAAATTACATTCAGTTAAGCCAGTGCCTGAGCTCATCACCTGTCAGTGAAATTGAGATTTTTAATTTTCTCTAGTTATTGGTTATTTATTCCAACTGATTTGTGGATATTTTATTTTCTGTTGTCCCTCTTTCCCCAAACCCCTTTTTCTCTGCTCTATCCTTAATTTCTCTCTCCACTTCCTCTCCTATCTCCCTCTCTGCAGCCATGGTGATGGTTCCTACACGAGAGTTGGCCCTGCAGGTGAGCCAGATCAGCATCCAGGTGAGCAAGCACATGGGCGGGGTTAAGGTCATGGCCACCACGGGAGGCACCAACCTGAGGGACGACATCATGCGTCTGGACGAGACCGGTAACTACTACTACCACTCAGCCACAGGGGACGGGCAGTCGAAAGGGTTATAGAGTGGCTGTAGTGTAGTGGCATAACCAATGTGTGAAGAATTGCAGCTGATCGATCATAGCTCTACAGACATTATGGATATTGTTTGCTAGCGTAACTGACACTGAACTTTGTTACTTTAACTTTAAATCCAGTTTGGCTATCGATCAAGAGACTTGCCCGTGTGTTACGCAACAGCACATTGTGTAATTCCTCATTATGTAGCTTTTATGTACTGTACTTACTAGGGCTGTAATGATCGGTCCCCGATTCAAATGTTTAAGATACAATACATGACCAAAAGTATGTGGACACCTGCTCGTCAAACATCTCATTCCAAAATCATGGGCATTAATATGGAGTTGGTCCCCCTTGGGGCAGGTAGCGTTCTCCTGGCATCCGCCAAACCCAGATTTGTCCCTCGGACTGCCAGATGGTGAAGCTTGTTTCATCACTCCAGAGAACGCGTTTCCACTGCTCCAGAGTCCATTGGCGGCGAGCTTTACACCACTCCAGCCGGCGCTTGGCATTGCGCATGGTGATCGTTGGCTTGTATGCGGCTGCTCGGCCATGGAAACCCATTTCATGAAGTTCCCGACGAACAGTTCTTGTGCTGACGTTGCTCCAAGGCAGTTTGGAACTCCATAATGAGTGTTGCAACCGAGGATAGACGATTATTATGCGCTTCAGCACTCGGCGGTCCTGTTCTGTGAGCTTGTGTGGCCTACCACTTCGTGGCTGAGCAATTGTTGCTCCTAGATGTTTCCACTTCACAATAACAGCACTTACAGTTGACCGGGGCAGCTCTAGCAAGGCAGAAATTTGACGAACTGACTTGTTGGAAAGGTGGCATCCTATGACGGTGCCACATTGCAAGTCACTGAGCTCTTCAGTAAGGCCATTCTACTGTCAATGTTTGTCTATGGAGATTGCATGGCGGTGTGCTCAATTTTATACACCGGCCAGCAACGGCTGTGGCTGAAATAGCCGAATCCACTAATTTTAAGTGGTGTCTACATACTTTTGTATATATATGGTGTATGAGTTCTTTGGTCCGCTGTAACGATCGGTCCCTGATTCAAAAGTTTAAGATATGAGTGCATTGATCCGCGGGACCCCGATCCAAATGTAGCATGCATCGTCAGAAAATCGATTCAAACGTTACGAATCGCCAAATCACTTTTTTTGTTGTTGCTCAAATTACTTTCTACATTCCGAAAAAAACTCATCTTTATTGACAATTGCGTCCTCTCCTTCAGTGTTGAGCTAAGCATGTAATTATGTTGACAGTCATTGATCTAGATGTCATTTTGCATGCCAAGCAACCCCAGTCAATATCAGTAGCCTAGTCACACTGCGCCCTGTGTGCAGCTGTGCACGCTGACCAACGATGGGTAGGTCTATTCCGGATCAGGCATATCTGCGCGTCACCTTCAGCATTCAAATGTTTGTAAAATGGCTTGTGCAATATTAGCCTTTATTAGTTGAGTGACAACCAATGTAGTTTGCTAGGTTATTTTTATCAAAAGCTGATCGTGGCGTACATTCGATTTTATTTATATTGTTCAGGTTTACTATCAACAATAGTTTTGGTAGTCATTTTTAGATATAGGGTAAAGTTGATAATTTCATAACGAGGACCGAAATCACTTTTGCTAGCTGTACTACATGGTCAAAGCTAGAGAAGAAGACGAGCTCATTCCGAGTCCGGCAACTTCCAAATGGTCTAACCAGGTATTCAACTCTTACCCCTACGAGGTCCAGAGCCTGCTGGTTTTCTGTTCTACCTGATCATTAATTGCACACACCTGGTATCGCAGGTCTAAATCAGTCCCTGATTAGAAGGAATAATGAAAAAATGCAGTGGAATTAAGTTTACAAGTTTGAGGGGTCTAAACCATCCGATTTATGAGACGGGGGAGAAATCCAAAGTTGTGCTATATATTCATTGGCTATGTCATAGCAGATTTTTTAAAGTTAAATATTTATACATTACTAGCTCTAACACTTAATCTGCAAAAATGACATTAATTAGTGGGTGATGGTGATGTCCCTTATGCCCAGTTTTCCTTATGGCTCAAATCAGGTGCCTACATACACTGTAGACCTATACATAATTTACACACAGAAGTCCGCTCCAACAGATCCAGCTCAGAGAAGCCCAGCTCATGAGCTCCAGCTGCAGCAGATTTTAATTTAGAATGGAAAATGAATGTGTAATGCAACAAATGTTAGTGCATCGTTCCTCGAATCGCACTGACTCGTTTCAAACTAAAACGCATCGGAAACCATTTATCTAGATGCGTAACAAATAGTCTTAAAAGGGAAAGATGCACATTTTCACTCTTTTCTCCACCCCCCCTCTCAGTGCATGTGGTGATAGCCACACCAGGCAGGATCCTGGACCTGATAAAGAAGGGCGTGGCCAAAGTGGATAAAGTCCAGATGATGGTGATGGATGAGGTGAGCGTCGCTGGTTGTTTTATTAAAGCAGCATATGTTATGAAATATGCAAAGTATCCTTTTTGTGAAAGACTACGTAGTTGCTCATTTTGTTTTGCTACTGGAGTAATGGTGTAATAAGCCAAGTGAAAGTAGCCCCTCTTTGCCACTTGCTCTGTTTGAACATATCAGTTCATGTACTGAGGCTCTACTCAATTGGGTCATCAACGAATGTGTCCTGACACTCTCTCCCTCTCCAGGCAGACAAGCTGCTGTCTCAGGACTTTGTGGTCCTGATCGAAGACATCATCAGCTTCCTGGCTAAGGGTCGTCAGATCCTACTCTACTCTGCCACCTTCCCCATCAGTGTGCAGAAGTTCATGGTGAGAGGACTTGCCTTAGTGGTGGCTAGAGAGTGTGAGAACAGGGGGAGACCAAGGGGGTGGTTGGAGAGACAAAGTGGGAGATGTGCATGGAGGTTCAATGAGAGAAAGGAGTCTGAATAACATGTTGATGACAGAATTGTCTTTACTCTCTTCAATTGCTATCTGTTTCCCACTGTCCCTCTCTCCAGGCGAAGCACCTTTCAAAGCCGTATGAGATCAACCTGATGGATGAACTGACACTGAAGGGCATCACCCAGTACTATGCCTATGTCACTGAGAGGCAGAAAGTCCACTGCCTCAACACCCTCTTCTCCAGGGTGAGTCTGTCTCTAGAGCTGTGGAGGTAGTTTGTTGGGCTACATACAGTGCATTCGGAAAGTATTCAGACCCCTTTACCTTTTCCACATTTTGTTACCTTACAGCCTTATTCTAAAATTGATTTTTTTTTATCCTCATCAATCTACACACAATACCCCATAATGACAAAGTGAAAACTGGTTTTTAGAATTTTTTTTATTTACCTACGTATTCAGACCCTTTGCCATGAGACTCGAAATTGGGCTCAAGTGCATCCTGTTTCCATTGATCATCCTTGAGATGTTTCTACAACTTGATTGGCGTCCACCTGTGGTAAATTCAATTGATTGGAAAGACACACACACACCTGTCTATATAAGGTTGCCACAGTTGACAGTGCATGTCAGAGCAAAAACCAAGCCATGAGGTCGAAGGAATTGTCAGTCGAGCTCCGAGACAGGATTGTGTCAAGACACAGATCTGGGGAAGGGTACCAAAAAATTCTGCAGCATTGAAGGTCTCCAAGAACAGTGGCCTCAATCATTCTTAAATGGAGAAGATTGAAACCACCAAGACTCTTCCTAGAGCTGGCCGCCCTGCCAAACTGGGCAATCGGGGGAGAAGGGCCTTGGTCAGGGAGGTGACCAAGAACCCGATGGTCACTCTGACAGAGCTCCAGAATTCCTCTATGGAGATGGAGTTTGCCAAAAGGCACCTAAAGACTCTGGTCTGATGAAACCAAGATTGAACTATTTGGCCAGAATGCCAAGCGTCACGTCTGGAGGAAACCTGGCACCATCCCTACAGTGAAGTATGGTGGTGGCAGCATCATGCTGTGGGGATGTTTTTCAGCGGCAGGGACTGGGAGACTAGTCACGATCAGGGGAAAGATGAACGGAGCAAAGTACAGAGATCCTTGATGAAAACCTGCTCCAGAGTACTCAGGACCGCAGACTGGGGCGAAGGTTCACCTTCCAACAGGACAATGACCCTGAGAACACAGCCAAGACAATGCAGGAGTGGCTTTGGGACAAGTCTCTGAATGTCCTTGAGTGGCCCAGCCAGAACCAGATCGAACATCTTTGGAGTGACCTGAAAATAGCTGTGCAGTGACGCTCCCCGTCCAACCTGACAGAGCTTCAGAGGATCTGCAGAGAATTGGGAGAAACTCCCCAAATACAGGTGTGCCAAGCTTGTAGCGTCATACCCAAGAAAACTTGAGGTTGTAATCGCTGCCAAAGGTGCTTCAACAAAGTACTGAGTAAAGGGTCTGAATACTTTTATAAATGTGGTATGTCTTTTTATTTAATTTTTTACATATCAATTTGCTAACATTTCTAAAAACCCTGTTTTTGCTTTGTCATTATGGGGTATTGTGTGTAGATTGAGGGGGGGGGGGGGGACAATTTAATACATTTTAGAATAAGGCTGTAACATAACAAAATGTGGAAAAAGTCAAGTGGTCTGAATACTTTCCAAATGCACTGTACCTGTTTGATGAGTAACCTTGAAGGAGCCTTGAAGACTTGTTAGCTCCCAGAGATATCACCTCATGTTTTGCTAGATGGACTAACTCTTGAGGTGGGTTGGCAACCTGTGTTCCATAACTGGTCCATTACCTACGCAGTCAGAAAAGCTAAACCTCTTTCAGTCGTAGAGATATTGGCTAATGGGAGAGCAGGAAGCCATGTTTCCTTCATCTGGGTCATCCATTCATTCATAATGAGTACGTTGTCTCATCGATGTGTCTTTTGTTCTCCAACAGCTCCAGATCAACCAGTCCATCATCTTCTGTAACTCAACCCAGAGGGTTGAGCTGCTGGCCAAGAAGATCACCCAGCTGGGCTACTCCTGCTTCTACATCCACGCCAAGATGATGCAGGTCAGCTCAGCCACTTTAGATTTAGACAGCATGGAATACCTTCTCATTAGACATTGTGTAGATCTCACTGTAGTCATGTTTTGCTAACCCTTGCACTGGTTTTGCCTTTGAAACAGGAGTACAGAAACCGTGTGTTCCATGACTTCAGAAACGGACTCTGCAGGAACTTGGTCTGCACAGGTAACATATTTTACTCTTGAGTTGGTCCTCTGTAGCTCAGCTGGTAGAGCACAGCGCTTGTAACGCCAGGGTAGTGGGTTCGATCCCCGGGACCACCCATACACAAAAAAAATTTATGCACGCATGACTTTAAGTCGCTTTGGATAAAAGCGTCTGTTAAATGGCATATTATATTATATTGAATGATTGCTTGGTTGATTGTTAATTATAACCGATACACTGATTTGTTAAATTATTCTCTTGCCTCTCTGCTTAGATCTGTTCACCAGGGGAATTGACATCCAAGCGGTGAACGTAGTGATCAACTTTGACTTCCCCAAGAACGCTGAGACGTACCTGCATCGCATCGGCAGATCAGGTGAGACCATTCACTTTATTTTCATCATGCTGTCCAATCAGATCTACTCAAGCATCATGTCCTTCTCCAGCTGCCATCTGCTTTTCTCCTGGTTAAATAAAGTGTTGAAAATACAAGCCTGTTGCCTATTTTAACACCTCTCCTTCTCCAGGGCGGTTTGGTCACCTGGGTCTGGCCATCAACCTGATCACCTCTGAGGACCGCTTCAACCTGAAGTCCATCGAGGACCAGCTGGTGACCGACATTAAGCCCATCCCCGGCAGCATCGACAAGGGCCTGTACGTGGCAGAGTTCCACTCTGCCGACCCAGACGCCGAAGACGAGATCAGAGGCAAGGACGGCGAGTTAAGCGCAGCATAAACGGTGAGGTTTTGACCACGTATGCAGAGATGGGGTCTCCCACTACTCATCGAAAGGACTGGATAGTTATTTCACTTTTGTTTATTTCACCAGTTGAGTCCTTTTGACTCCTTGCTGGTCAGTGGTCATAAAACAAAGGAATTTGGGGCATTAGGGCCTGAACTGAGAAACTGTTCGCTCATGTTCAGCCTAGCTCTTGATAAAAGGTCCTTGGTGGATAGGATTGTTGAATAGGCTTTGCTGCTGATTTTGCAATTTGATTACATTGGTTCTTAACTGGAGCCTTCTCTTTTCCAGGAGAACAAGAGGCGTCTGGCATTCGTCACACCATCCCCTGCTGCTCACAGACATTCAGATTAGTTTCTGACTGAATATTTTTAAAAATCTACAGGATGCATCTCAGTTTTTTTATTTTGTTTTATTTGGGGGGAAACGTTTACAGCAGTGGTCAGTTTGTTTGGCACAGTTTACAGCCATTTTTAACCAACATGATATGTACCCAACCTGCCAACAATTTTCTGTACTGTCAGTGTATCACTGTAGTGGCTTCTTATACGGTCACATTTAATCATTCCCTGTTGAAAAGGCCCTCGCTTGTCAGGTTCACTTCCTGTAGACTTATTTCTGAGCAGATGACTGTCGAGGAAACCAAACCAAAGCTGAACATGTTGATAGGAGAAAAACCAAAAGAACCCTCTCTGCTTTGACAGCTGTCTGGGGAAAGCTATCCTGGTGCTATACGGTGGGGCCTAGAATGAAATACTAGTGTTCGTGCTAATGTGACTTTACAGTCATACATGAAAGGCACTTCTATTAATAATTTGTTTTGTCGCAGACGCACACAGATGAGTCCAATGATGAGTGTTGATTAGTTTACTTGTTGTTTATTTGTTTAGTATTTTACAGCCTCCTTAGTCGGCTATAGCACCAGACAGACCCATAACTCTTTGGGCAACATATCCCTTAGACAAGGAGATGATGGCAATAGAACCTGACATGGAGAAGAGCCTGTATCAACAGGGCATACATTTTATTTAGATACGCTGACTTACCGACCCCCTCTAAACAAATTAGACATGCTGAAGCCAGTCATCTTATTCTATCGCTCTGACTCTTCTGTTGATCTCTCACACTCTTCCTCTCGTTAACTCAGTTGTGTGCCTTAATCTAAACTCCGCTCACGGCTCATACTGTAGATCTGAAAGGATCTGTCTGTGTGAACCAGAGCTCCAGAAAGTAAGTTGTAAGTTCTGTTCCGAAAAGAACTTATCTGGTAATGTGTTCTTTAGCTCTCACCTCAAGTCGGTGCTTGTTTTGTCTCAACTTCCCAAAAGTCCTCTCAGTGATCTAAGGTCAATTTTGCATCCCTTCTCCTAGTGGTTAATATTAGGATTTGGGGATGGAAACCTGACCCTAGATCAATCCGTAGCTTTCCAGAGAGACCAGGGAGCAGGAATGGTCACACAGGGTGGGGGACCCTAATCTCTGTAACACAGGAAGTGACAATACTGGCAATTGTCGTTGAGGAATCACCGCATTTCATGGTCATATTTTCTCAGTTGTTATGCAATGTATTTTTCCTCTTTCTTACAGCTATATTGGGTAGTCTGACAGAGGAATGGTTTTGTGTTGAGGGAAGATTGTAGCAGTACTCTCATTGGTCAAAGTACAGGGTTCTACTTTAAAATGATAAAATATTGCCAAATACAATCTTGTCTTATAGCGACAACCCTAACAGATCCTACAATCTTCAACATTTCAGAGATGTAGCAGATGGCTGGCCTCCGCATTGAGTCTAGCACCAGCAGAACACAACAGAGACCATTGTAATGCATGTACGCCCTTATTTAAACAGCCTACAATACTGAGCACTGTTTGTTTCCCCACGTCTGGCTCTGGAGTATCCCTGTAAATGCTGGAGTTTATTTATAACTGATTCCATTGTCAATTATCCTCAATTGAGGCACTTGAACACTGAAATGGGACTTTTGATTTGAGCATTGTCAAGTGTTTGTGTTAAACGTTATTAATGGGTTAATCTCGCACACCAGCCGTCCACAGCTTGGGACAAGGCTATAAAATGGGAAAGTGAAGCAGCATTTGCCAGGGGTACTCCAGTGCCGATATAAGAAGACTATGGTAAACTTGTTTTTGACTTTTTATTTTTATCCAACTCGTTTGAGTAATGCTCCTTTTGTAGTTGTCTTGTGTTGGCAGAGGTCACCTACTGAGCTGAGCTGTAAAGTGGTAGGAGGATGGCTAAGCAAAGTTTATTCTCGTGCCAATTGTGTCAATGCCAGCACCTCTGAAGGAATGAAATAAAGTCCTGCTGATTCTCCATCCCTGTGTCTTAGTAAGTTTTCGTGTGTGTATTGGTTCATCACACGTTGTGCATTTTTATGTGCATGTATTAGTGACGAGTTACAAATTATATCAGTGGTCAGCTAACATTGTGGGAGGTATGCATAACCTGCTATAACCTATTTGCCATAGGCCTGTCTTGAAACTAGGTATATGTATACATTTCATTTGCTAGGTCAGAGGTGTGGTGTTAATGATCAATCGGGAAAACGTTCAAGATACCATAATATACGTTCTACATATAGGAAGACGAGCACTGTGTGCATAGAAAGATTACCCTTGGAATGTCTTTCCTCGTTGGAATGAATTAAGGAACCGATTGGAAGGCGCAAAATAAGCCTATTAATGTGACATTCAGGTGCTAGTCGGAAGTAGAAAACTCGGAAATGTTGGACTTGCTAACTGGTTGTAGTTATACACGTGTCAGATTCAACCCATAACTCAGTGGTCAAACTAGATAGCAGCTCGGTAATTTATGAATTCCGACTTGCACATGAACCCGGCACAACACGCAATATTTAGGGAGTTCGTAGTAGTTGGATGTGCTGGCCAATGGTAGTGGAGTTTGTAGGTACAGTACCCAATCCACGGGTTTATAGGGGACGGTGGGCGGGTCTAAACGTGCACCGGAAGGTTGTCGTTGAACTTTGCCGGTGTGTAGCTAGAATTAACGCCGGACACGCACTAACACTTAACGTGAGTAGCTCGCTAACACATTTTAATGATAGTTGCATGAAACGGACAACTGTAAAAACGATGTCTTTATTACATGGAGCTGATGATGTTACAGTTTTGTCTGCATGTACAGCGCAGCAATTGTGATCGCTAGCATCATTAGCAAACTAACGGTTAGCGCAGTCAGTGACCGTCAGTCAAGTCAACCAGGTCTCAGAGCATTTCGTTTTATTCTGTTCGTAAATCCGAGACACTCCGTTAAGTATGATACAGTATCTAACTGTTTGGTATGGTTACATAAGACAGATGGTTACTTAAAGCCAAAACGAAAGGTGATTGTGGTTGGTATGGGTGGATGGGTGGGCATATGCTATCTAGCTACATGTGTAGCTTAAATACCCTTTGGCCTTTACCTAGCTGTGCTACTATTTGACCCAGTTAATGCATAGAGTTGGATAACTAGCCACTAGCTAGTAACTATTTACATAACATAAGGAGGCTTTCCTTTCGTTGTGTCTCAAGTATCTCACCCCTTCTCTTTTTCTGTCTCTCTCTCTCTCATCCTTTTTCAGCATGGGCAGTGTGTTGGCTGCCAGCTCCCCCCCTCCGCCCCCTGCCCCAGGCAGTGTTAGTGTCCAGGGGGCCCCTGGGTTGGTGTCAGTCCCCCCAGGGTTCTCCATGCCCTCCGTCTCTCCCGTTCCTGCCCCCGGTCAGCCAGCAGGTGAGACAGGGAGCCCCATCCCCAACCCTGGTACCTATGAAGAGTGTCATCGCAAGTGCAAAGGTAAGGATCATACACAGTCATGTCATGATGAGTTATGCGGTACATCATCAGAGTTGTACAGGTGCATCCTTCCTGTTCGAATATGCTGGGCAGTGACAGGGCAGATTTGATGCGCTATTATTTATTTGAGAGGTGTGTTTTTCCTCAGTATTTTTTTCTGGCCCATATTTTAGATTGGGTTAAAAGTAGATGATGTTTGCATTGAACAGTTTCTGTTCTAACTATAGACTTGGACAACTCTAGTGTCCCAAAGCCAGTTTTAGCATGGGCAGCACCATTGAGGACTTTCACCATTTTGAAACAGTCAACTGGGTGGGACTTGCTATGGGTTAAGGAAGGATCACGTAATTCCTTCCAGGTCATCAGGAGGGATCAGCCAATGAATTATACTTGTGAGCAAACATTCCATTACTGCAGGTGTCAGTAAATCGCCAACCAATGGCCTTTATACGTTCCAAACCAAACTCATCCATGTGCGCAGCTTGCAGCACACCTTTCTGTTGTTGTACCACTCAGAATTATTGGAGATGGCCTCAATGGTGCCGCCCTTGCTCTCATAGACGCCAAAGTGGGACAGATATAAAGTTGTGTCCTCTAACTATCTATGATTCTAACGCCATTTCAGAGGTGTTCCCCATCCAGATGGAAGGAGTGCGACTGGTGGTCAACAAGGGCCTGAGCAATCACTTCCAGGTCAGTTGTGGAGCTAGAGGAATATATTTTAGATGCAGCCACAGGCAGTAAGTTAAAGCCAGCGTTATAGTCTGCATTCTGTGCGAGCTATTATACAATGAAAAGGAACTATCTGACCCTCAAGGCTGTAAAGCTCAAGGTGGTGATTGTCCTATTTCATATGGATCAGAATACTATATTGTTTTCCACTTTATTGGATGTCTGCTGTATCTGTTCTACAGGTCAGTCATACAGTCACTCTCAGCACCTTGGCTGAATCTGGCTACCGGTTCGGTGCCACCTACGTGGGCACTCAACAGACAGGACCTGCTGAGGTAAGTTAACTATCACTTGTCTGGTCTGGAAAACATCCCTCAGCCACTTTATCCTAATATTATTATACTCTAATAATATTGTTGTATGTGTTGAAACCCCTCCCCCAGTCCTTCCCAGTCATGGTGGGAGACATGGACAACACTGGTAGTCTGAATGCCCAGGTTATCCACCAGCTCACCAGCGCTGTGCGCTCCAAAATAGCCATCCAGGTACGTCACCGTGAAGAGCGGGGAAGGCCACACCAGGATCAGAAAGTTTATGTATATTGAACTTACTGTTTATTAATCTGTGTGTTATTTCAACAGACTCAGCAGCACAAGTTTGTGAACTGGCAGTGTGACATGGAGTACCGTGGCGACAACTTCACCTCTGCTGTTACCCTGGGCAACCCAGACGTCCTCCTCGGCTCTGGTAGGATTGTTTTCTCATCAAAGACTTCACTGGTGGTCCATGATGCTGCAAAACGACCCATCTCTCCTACAAGCACATTTGGGTGGAAGCTTCATCACTTACAGCAATAATGCTCTCGTTACCCAGGCATTTTGATCACACGTTATGATGGCCTCTGTAAACAGTGAACAGGCTGGTTATTATTTAGACATTAGTCATTTATTCTTGTGCTCTACTGTAACATCTATGATGGTGATGAAGATGTTGCTGTCCCTCAGGTATTATTGTGGCTCACTATCTCCAGTCGATCAGTCCAGCCCTGGCGTTGGGAGGAGAGCTGGTCTACCACCGGAGGCCTGGGGAGGAGGGAGCAGTCACCTCCCTAATGGGCAGATACACAGGTGAGACCCACACCGCCTCAACCTCACCCTCTGTTAGAGCCAGGAGTTTTTTACTGGTCAGGTCACTGAGATTAATATTCTTGTTTTTCCTCCAGGCAATAATTATGTTGCCACGTTGACTCTAGGAGGCGCTGGTGCTCATGCAACGTACTACCACAAAGCCAATGACCAGGTACCCAAACAAAGCCATCCTATCACCTCTACCTTGCCCCCAGTCTAGAACACAAAACCCCTTTAATGTGGATCACTGTGTAAAATAGTTTGGGAATCCACTGGTAGCCTACCATCTCTAGAGCAGACCATAACTATAGGCACAGTACCATCTGTAGCTCAACTGGTAGAGCACGGCGCTTGTAACGCCAGGGTAGTGGGTTCGATCCCCGGGACCACCCATACACAAAAAAATTATGCACGCATGACTGTAAGTCGCTTTGGATAAAAGCGTCTGCTAAATGGCATATTATTTAATCTCTCCAATGAGATGAGTGCTTAGTGGAATATCTGGGACCATGCTAATGGACCACTCCTTTTCTGACAGGGAGGTGTTAGCCCACTGAAATACTTGAGGCGATGTAGCACCACAGTGCTAGGTTTGTTTTTGTGTTTGTGAGACCATCTTGTTGTCCTTCTACCAACTCAGCTGCAGCTGGGGGTGGAGTTTGAGGGCAGCATGCGGACGCAGGAGACCGCAGTATCGTTTGGTTACCAGCTGGACCTCCCTAAAGCCAACCTGCTTTTTAAAGGTAAGCCACTGTCGGTTCCTCTACAACACAGCTATTCATTCAGCCCTCAAGGGTTAATTGAGTAAATTGATCCATTGTCATTGATTGGCCAGAGTTCATCCACCTGTTGTCCCAGGTCTGAATCATTTCCTGATCAGTCCCTCCCTTTTCCCCCTCCTCTGTCTGTCCAGGTTCAGTAGACAGTAACTGGGTGGTGGGGGCGGTCCTGGAGAAGAAGCTGCTGCCCCTGCCCCTCTCCCTGGCCCTGGGAGCCTTCCTCAACCAAAAGAAGAACAAGTTCCAGTGTGGCTTCAACGTCACCGTTGGCTAGACCGCCACATACCACATCCAACACACTGGGCCACGCTTGGACCAGCAGACACACACAGGGACCTGGGCTTGTCATGTATGTATCTACTGGATTCAGAGACTCTCCTATACTGTGAATTGTGGGGCAAAGAGTGAGCGAGGGGGCTACTCTATACCAAGGAGCCACGCCTACATATTGTAGTACATGTGTCTTTCCTTATGATATCTATGTGATACAGTCCAACTGTCTGATGAACCTCTTATCTCAATTTTTGCCAGTGTTAAAAAAAATCAGTTTTTTTCTTTTTCTGGAAAGTTAACTAATTCAGGAAATGAAAGAAAAATAACTGCTGTGTTTTACCATTAACGAACATACAATTACCAAACTTCAGAAGCATTTTGAATACATTTTCTTGGTTCTAGAGTTATGAAATGTTCAGAGTACATTGAGTGGAGTTACTGCTTTCAATACATGTAACAAAAATTAAATTGGCAGAAATGGAGTTGGGGTTGTCACCAGACCGTGACAATATGATTATGAAATGTATTTAGAATCAGAAATAAACTACTTTTGTATCTTTGGCTTTTGATGACGTTGTTAAAGACCATTAAGGACAGATTGTGCATGTGTCCGTGTGGTGCTATGCATGAGAAGAAATAGCAGTGCATTGGAAAATAACTTTATGTAGAAAAATATTATTCAAAGTAAACAACAAAGTTAACCTGAAAAATGATCATGAATTTCAAGTAAGGGCAACATTCAAGACCTGGTGGAGCTCCAGTTTTGAAACAGCTCATCACACACGGTGACAACAGTTCTGAATGAAGTCTATTTAGGAAACTGCAATAACATTCATTCTTCCAGTGTAGGTTTCATTGCATTAGTCTCTTTACAAATCCATGTGCAGTCAGATGACAAATGCATCCAGCTGAGAGCTAGAGGTACATAATCATACTGGCATAGGCTCTATAGTCCAACAGTAGTAAACAAACAACTGTTCCTTCTTGTTTCAAGCTCAAGTCCTTCTACTCACCAAACAGTGGTGGAACCTAACTCAGCAGGGACACTGAAAGCGCACCTCTTTGTCAACTGTTACCTCTGCCCACGCTGCTTCTGACGCTCATGATGGAGACATCTGATTGGTCGCTGGAGGGCCAGGATTGGCCAGGGGTTATTTGGGAGGCGGGAGAGACAGTGGCTGGGTGAGGGATGTTGGTGTGGAGCAGGATAAAGGGAAGCTCTGGATAAAGATGTCTCTGGACTCCAGGGGAGTAGTAGGCTAGTAAAGGTCCTATTTGAGCATCAGTGATGGGGGACTGGTGGTGAATTACTGGAGGGTAGCTGTGGGTCAGTGAGTAGCTCCTTCTCTGGGCCAGGCTGATGTCCACTGCAGTCATCATGTTGGAGCCAAGCTGCTCGCTCTCCTGGATCTTCATTGGAGACTGGCGGCCTGACAGGCTCTCTACTGATTGGCTGTGGGGAGAGGGGGTGGGAGGCGCCCTGGGGGAATGGGACGCGCTGTGGTGAAGAGGCGACGCTGTGGGAGTGGCCAATGGTGAAAGGCTGGGAGATGGGGAACCTGGGGACAGAGAAGGGGTGTGATGAGTTTACTGTGTGCCCGAATGCACATACATGTATAAGTGCGTGCTCGTCTCACCATTACCTCTGTTCTGTGAGTGGGGTGTGCTCCTGTGTGGTGAGGCTGGTACACACTGCTGAGCTTTGGGCTGCTGGTTTCTGGAGCCCTTCCCTCGTAGTACATCGGTTACCTGAGGAGAGATCAAAATGGTTCGGTTACCTGAGAGGACACATTAACAGTGCTGCAATGACAACTAGTGAGTTCACGGCATCTCTGTGGCCTGCTACTGAGTGATAGCATTCCTTTGATTATTTGTGTGTTTTATTGTTGGTACAGTTTGTCATTGTCAGTTTGTTGTTGCTTTGCTGCCGTTGTGAGGTATTAGGTACAGCCACTAGAGGGAAGCACCCACAAGGATTAGTTCAGTCCTATGTCCACACTATTGTTCATTTAACCCACTAACTTCAGTTTTTATTTTCCTACACATCTCTGTAAAGCTATTGATTGGCGTGAAACGGAGAGGGGAAAAAATGACCATTCCTCTTACATAGATTCAGTATATTAGTTCTCTCCTCCCTCACCTCCTTGTTCTTGGCCACCATCGTGGGGGTGTCATTGTGGTAGTTCTTCACACTGTTGTCGGCTCTGTTCTTCAGTAGCAGCCTGACTGTGTCCACCTGGCCTCGCCCACAGGCACTGTGCAGGGCCGTGTTCCCACTGTACGACTGGCCATTCACATTACAGTCATTCTGATGAGGAGGAGAGAGGACAGAGAGAAGCGGGAGATTGAGGAGAAAAAATAAATAACATGGTCAGGCTTTAATGGCGATGTGTAACAAAACAGAATCACCTTTATTTCTTGTATATAATCTTCCCTGGAAAGGAAAGAGAAACCTACAGGGGAGGAGCTACAGACCATTTAAATATAGACGAGGTGACTTCAGTAGAACAGCTGAGTCACATACAACACACACGTAGCCTTACCTCTATGAGGAAGTGCACCATGTCCATATTGTGATTCTCTACTGCGTGTATGAGAGGACTGCGGCCACTCTTGATGTCCTTAGAGAGAGGAGCATGGGGACACCAGTAAAGTGGACCTGTATTTAATGTCATGAGTATTACCTGGTATTGAGTAATTGGATGATACAGTAGGTTCAGTATGCCAGAATAACTCGAAGCCCATTTGAAATGCCCCAGCATTAAGGGGAGGAAGGTGACTGACCATTGCGTTGATGTCCGCCCCAGCATCCAGCAGCATTCTGGCCAGCTCCTTGTGTCCACCCTGTACAGCTAGGTGGAGAGGGGTGAGGCCTGGAGAGAGTGGGGGAAACGATAAGCAGTTAGGGAGAGAATCACATGCACACGCTCCAGAGCCCATGTGTATTCTAGGGGGCTTTCTGCTGTTTTGAGTACAAGGCAAACCATGCTGTGCCCAGACTTGTCACACTGACACACAGACCACCACAGCAGGAAATGCCCTCTTCCCCTCTTCCCCTCTCTGCCTCACACACCCACCACCATGGGACCCATTGCATGAGTCAAACAGGGGGGATATGTGATAGTAATACAGTGGATTAAGCTCTAATCATGTCAAATGGGTAGGTCACTTTCAGTGCAATTCTTCTCAATTTACACAACTTAAGTCAGTCAAGCGACAATTTGTAATGTGTGCCACATATAACGTTAGTATCAGTCGCAACTCACAAATATTCCCACATCAATATGGGAATTTCCATATATTAGGCGTGAATGTTGTAAACATTGTGTGGGGTTTACTGGCTTTATTTGGGGTAGTAGTATACATCCTAGATCTGTTACTGTTTTAGCCAAGTCATTGTCATGTCTGGCATGACTACCACAAAGGAGCTGGCTATAGCAGAAACAGACTGTCAATTAGGCCACATTGATATGAATTTAAACTAATCCCCTGAATTGTCTCAATGAAATGGAATTGAGCCCAACAGTAGTAGTAGCAGTAGTAACTTACCCTCATAGTTCCTGACCTCCAGGCAAGTCAAGATGGAGGGGTGGGAAAGGACCACAGAGAGGCAGGCCTGCTGACTGTGTTCACAGCAGAGGTGGACCGCTGTCTGACCGTTACGGTCCAGAGCCCCCGGGTCAGCACCTGCACTTAGCAACGCCCCCACCAGTTGGGCCTGATGGGTAATCACAGCCAGATGAAGAGGGGTCTGAGATAAAGAGGGTGATAGAAAATGAATCTATAGACAATCTCATTAAACAATAACATTTTAAAACCATACATAGGCATATTTCCCGTTATAGACCCGTCCTGAAACTGCGCGTGTGAAAGAACATTAAAACTCCGCCTGGAAAACACCCATCATTCTCCTTTTATGGTGACAATAACGCCCTTATTTGCTGTATACTTTGAAAGTATTCGAATTAGGCGAGGCCGTTTTCTAAAGGAAATAGCAATAGCGAACTTGATCAAATGTCTTTGGAGGTGATGGCATAATGACACTTTTTCAGTGACATTTGCTGTAGGCCTAGGCTATCTGGAAGACAGTTTATGTAAGACAACAATTGCAAATTGCTGTGGACCTGTAAACATATCGTTTGAATTAATAGGGCCTAATGTTTAGCATTTACTTTTTCTCAAACCTATGCTGCACTGCCCGAATTCTGTAACATTGTCTACTTAGTGGTAGCCATATTAACTGTCTGTTCACCTGTTAAATTCAACTGCATGTTATAAACCATGCTTACTTTGATGCAAATAGCAAAATACTTGACATAATAGCGTATCTAATCGGCCCAATTAAATTAGAGATGTGCGTGGTAATTTATTGTAGGTTATGGCTACTTAGGGAATATGAACCCATCATGGCCAGAAAAGGTGAAGAATGTATTCTGCAATGGTTATGAAAATATGTATTGTGTATAAATGCAATATTGTCTACTCGAGAAATGTGAAATTGCAGTATTCAGACGTAAGCTACAGAAGTAACCTACAACCGTCTGTTCCATCATTAATAAACTGAGATTCGGATCGGGTGGCATAGAGCAAAATACTTGAAATAGCTTGTCTATTTACTATTGTGAAGTGGGTCCAAACAACAAATGGGACAAATGATATCCTTGTTGTAGGCCTATATGCTACCTCGTGAGTATGAACCATCACAGAAAAGGTGAGGAATTTATTATGCAATGATCATGGAAATTAAATAAATAATAGCCCAGAAAATAGATGCCTATTTAAAAAAAATAAAATTTAATGCAAAGATTCTCTCCTCACTAACGGCAAATGATTGCATGTTGTTATTAACCTGTTTGTTTTGAATAAGCGTGTCCATCATATCCCCCATTTGCACAAAATACTATTCTACTTGCCACTAGAAAATGTGTGTACGCATGGTCTAAAGTTTGCGGGAAGGTGAGCACATTTTTACGTCAAGTTCAGTTTTTATAAATGCCAACTTTTGCACGCATGTTTTGGGGTATATTTTGTACATATGCATGGTTTACAAATGAGGCCTCAGATCAACATCTAAACCGATACCCTTTTTTTTTACCAAGAGCGGGGAGGAGGAAGAATAGTGTATTATTCCTGTTAATGGAATCGCATCATTTCATCGCCATGGTGTTCTGCAGGGTGAACGTCACAGGAGCAGATAAACGATTGGCTAGATAAGGTTGGGCCGACGCCCCCAAACAAACCAGAGCCGCCCAGTCAGGGCACAGCGGGCTTTCTGGCTTTATCAACATTAGACATCGGCAGACAAATAATAATAATATAATATGCCATTTAGCAGACGCTTTTATCCAAAGCGACTTACAGTCATGTGTGCATACATTTTTACATATGGGTGGTCCCGGGGATCGAACCCACTACCCTGGCGTTACAAGCGCCATGCTCTACCAATTGAGCTACAGCGGACCATATGATGGTAAACACACCATCAAAGTCCAAAATACAAAAAATGGCATCCACCAAGGTCAGTGTGAAGATACAACCCCAAAAGTTTTTTTTCTTGTTTAAAAATTAGGTGCACCTAAAGTATTTGAAAGAGAAGGAATGCTATTTCCAGCCAGGTCTGATGTGATCAATGTTTTGGTCTCAGGTGACCAGGACAGCCCATGTTGTGTTGGAAAGCCTGGGACCCGGCCCAGGTGATTCCAGAGACATACCACTATGCAGGGGATTGCCGATTCAAATTTACTCAAAGCACTTGAGCAATCCAGTATCTTCCAGAGACGATGGCGAATGATTAATTGATTCGTAAAACCTGATTGATAACCATGTTAACTTTGTCAGTGGTCCAATGTCCAGAGACATGTAGAAAGGGTTTAGGGAAGTCACTTGATCTGTAATCTATCATACTGAACAATCTCAGTGGTCAGGATGATGTTAATTTAGTTTCACTTTTGATTCAGGAAAAGCACCTAACTACAGTGTGTGTGTGAGGCTATGTTCCAGTAAAGAACAGGAGTAAAACACAGAAGCAGTGGCGGGAGAAAACACACTGGTGAAATTCCTCCAATGTCTCAATGCCAGTGGCCCTCACTTCCTGAGAAAACACTCCTATTTCCCTGAATCCTCAGTGACTCATGACTGATCACACACACACTAGTGTTTGACCTCCCATGAACTACCAACACAGTCTGACTCAGTCATCTTGTACATCCTAGAATGTCGCTGAACATGAAGCCGTAAAGGACGTAACCATCAACATGTCACAATACTTAATCCAAGGCACAGGTCAAATCAAGGCTTTTATGATGGTCCAAAAACACTCCAAAGTTCACTGAGTTTACTACTAGCTTCCTGTAAGCCATTCCAGAATGACAAACAAAAACAGCGCAGATAAGGGGGGGGCAGAGAATGGGGAGGGACAGAAGGCGGAGCATAGGGTAGGAAAGCCAGGGAGAGGAATAGCCGGAAGCGGTAGACAGGAGGCAAGGGGAAAGACAGGATAAGAGGGGGAAAATCCCTTCCCTCTCCCCTGCTGGCTATGTCCACAGAGTTGCATTCCAATGAAATGAGCTGATAAACCAGAAGAACAGAGGAGTGGAGGGAATGGTGATTGTGTGCCAGACAAAGATAAGGATATAAAGAAAAAGGGGGAGGAGGTAAAAACAGTAAGAGAAACTAAAGGTGTGCATAGGGTGTACCTCCTGGTATGACCTGTTCATGTTCTAGTTGTGCAACTTCCCAGGAAAGACTAACAAAGGCCCATACCATGGAAGAGCTCATATTACAAGTTATTTAGAAAATAATTGTGAGGTGTCATTTGTATAATTTATGCAGTTATAGGAGGGGTCAACTCACCATGTACTGAGATAAGATCACAGAGAGATAGAGAAGAGACTAGCGCAGAAAGGGAAAGTCCCTGATTCTACCCTCTAAACCTCAGCAACAACATATGTTGAGAAACAGCACAGAGCAGGGGGGGGGGGGGGTGTCATGTGACTTCTCGGAATGAGGATACTAAGTGCACATACATATGCACTGTAGAAGCCTCACACAATACACTGCATGCCACAAGCATACACACAAAGCATAATGTACAAAGTGGCAACAGTAGCATCAAGGATATGGTCATTCATTTGCAATATCTGAACAGTTTCCAGGGAATTTGCATAACCTAATATGGGAGTAGCATTGGCCAGAGAGAATTGGGAAGTGCACCAGCTAGTAGATGTCAGTGTTTGGTTAGTAGTAGTGACAGTGTGGGAGTATCAAACAGCTGTTTCATAGCACCAGTGCTGCAGCCGATCTGGTAGTCGCACAATGCACATGCAACTCTCAGTACTGATATTAACTCTGTCAACCCGTTTAATTTAAGTGACCACTGAAGTATTGTTTGGACTGCATAACAAATTGAATTGCTAGAGAAAGTTCTGCATGGACCAAAAGTCCTGTTTTGTATGATCATCTGGCATTGTCAAAAGAGCTTTGCAGGCTTTATGTAAAAGTATTGTGCAGTGTTTAAGATTTTTATTTTGGGTTACAGACTATCCTATATAGTCCTTTACTTGTGATTATCACTGACAAATCTAATAAACAATTCGAAAATTGGTTCTCAGGCTAGGCAATAGGTCTGTGCTAGATAACAAAAGTACCCTATCTGGTAGTCACATTGTGGCGAGCATCATAAATATGCCATTTAGCAGACGCTTTTATCCAAAGCGACTTACAGTATTTTTGTGTATGGGTGGTCCCGGGGATCGAACCCACTACCTTGGCGTTACAAGCGCCGTGCTCTACCAGCTGAGCTACAGAGGACCACATGTCTCTCAGCCTGGACTGAAATCTCCACCTGGCTCCTCACATGGCACGATTGTATGCAGCTTGTCTGTTAGACTATACACTACAGACAGGATATCACTGTAAATGCCTCAGTCTCACCTCAACGG